AGAAGGTGTGTCAGAAACACATTGTGAACATTGAGAGGGAAAAGAAACTTCCAGCTGGGTCCTGGAGGGACCAGGAGACAAACCAATGTCATCAGAATCACCCAGTAGTCAGGCCTGGGACAGTCTGAGATAAGGCAAGAAAGTCATCGATTCTCCAAGCTGGAAGGGCTCCTAGAACCTTCCTATTTTACAGATGGGGAAACTGAGGCCCAGAGAGCAAAAGGGACTTGCTTAAGGCTCCACAGCTGGTAACAGGCAGGGCAAAGGCTGGAACTCAGGAAACTTTGGCTCAGTCGGTCTTAGTCTCAGCACTTAAGTCTATAAATACCCTGGCTCCCTGTTGCCTCCCAGGTGTGCGATCCACACTGCTCCCAGAGTCCACAGTGGGCATAAGCTCCATTCGTCCAGAATGGCAACCTGCACACACTGCCCCCTTTAAAGGCCACCTCCCTTCCTCACCTCCCTTCCTCTCTTCCCTAAGGGTGCTTCCTGAGATCACCTCCCAAATAAACTCCTTGCACAGATTCCTTGTCTCAGGGTCGGCTCCTGGAGAACCCCACTTGTGATAGAGCCCACTATCAACTGATCAAACCACATCCATACGGCCTGCAAGGTCCAGACTCAATCTTCAAAATATCTCCTTACCCTGTCTAGAGTGTAGAATTCATCTTCTTAAAATACAGAGTGGATTACGACGCTCTTGTGCCTCCAATTCTCTCTCTCTCGCAAGGACAAGCAAACTTTCTGTAAAGGGCCAGCTATTAAATATTTTTGGCTTCGTGGGCCAGATGGTCTCCCTTACAGCTACTCAGCTCTGCAGGTGGAGTGTGAAGTCAGCTGTAAGCAATATGTGCGTGGCTGTTTTACAATAAAACTTTATTTACAAACACAGATGGCCATCCTGAGGTCCAGACTGTGCTGAGCGACAGGACCGGGCCTCTTGTTGTATCATTCATGGCCTTTCACACTCTGCCCCCGCCCACCTCTCAGCCTCAGGTTTAAATATTTGTTGGCTGTCCACTGGGTGCATTCATAACCCAATATAGGCTCTGAGTATGAGGACTTTCAGAATCTCTCCTTCTGGGGAAAACTACCAGTTACTTCACAAAATAATCAGATAGTTTGGTTAAACAAAAGTCTTTTTCCCCAAGATTGAACTACGGTGCTTGAACTACGGTGCTGGTCTCTCTTGGTCTCATACCCTCATCTGCACTAGCCACAGAACCCCTCTCTCCTGTGGGAAACCTATGCCCTGTGGTCCTGATGTGGCTGGCCCCACTCCCAGCCACAGGAGCCACACCTGACCCAGACCTGGCCAATCAGAACTAGCTTTTCCCCAGGTCAAGTGATGCATCAGGGAGAAACCCACGACCCAATCTGGACCAATGAGAATCTTCCCTAGTTTTTGTTCTCCTGATGGGCTTCTAGGCAAGGGGCATATGAGTCCAGAGAGGCTGATGGCCAAACCCAGCCACCATTTGAGGCCTGTTTGAAGAATGAAGTCAAGAGATGGAGAGAGAGGGGAAACCCTCACGGACTCAGGCAGTGACAAAGCACCTACTATATGCCAGGCTCTGAGCTAACTTCTGGTGACCTCAGGATGAGTCAAACCTGGTGGTCCCTGCTTTCAAGTGGCTCAGAGATTGCAGAGAGAAGGAGACAAGTCAACCCATAATTACATTTCACTGTGAAAAGCTCTCTGACATGGAGAAAGGTCTAAGGGAGGGGCACTAAAACCCTGGGGCTGGCCAGGGTGCTTCTTGGGTAGGCAGGGGCCAGAAATTCTGGGAGTTGTGTTGGTAGGCATTGCAAGCCCTATGTTACCTGAGCTGCCTTTGGGAGTGCTCTCCCAACTACAGCTTCGAAGTTGGGGCCAGTTTCCTGCACCCACCACTGTCCACCTGCGGCTCTGCCCGTCCTCGCTCTGGCTCCCCCTCTCTCTCTGAACCTGGCTTTTTCCAGGAATCCAATAGTGGCCACTGAGCTGTGACCCTCAGAGACTCCTCCCTAGGCTGGGAAAGCTCCCTGGTGTTGCCAGGAAAAAAGACCCGGGTGGGGTGCCTGAGTGCAGGACAGAGCTTATGTGGGGAACAGATGCTTCAGCCTATGAGACAGGAGAACAATTAAGATGACTTTGGCTCTGATTCCTGGAAGGAGAGGCTGACCACTTACCAGGAGACATGCAGAGGGAAGAGAGGGCTCAGAGTCTCTTCCAAACTTGGTCATCTTGCTTTGAAAGCAACTGGGTTTGCTCAGCCCTGGACTGATGGAGGAGAAACTGGGGGAAGGGATGTGGGCTTCTTGGTTGCAGAGAGGGTGGGGCATTTGGGGCTAGCTTTTCTTTTGGCCTCGGCACGTGGGATCTTAGTTCCCCGACCAGGGATCAAACCCGTGCCCCCTGCAGTGGAAGCGCGGAGTCTTACCCACTGGACCGGACGGCCAGGAAGTCCTTAGGCTAGCTCTTAAGCAGACTTGGGGAGAAACCAGGGAACAACTGAGAACCCAGCCTCTCCAACATAACCCCCTCGAACAGAGATTTGTCAGGTAGCTGCTGGTGCAGAGCTGGAAGACCTGAATTCCAGCCCTGCTCTGTGACTCACCCTGGCTGCCTGTGGGTCCCCCACTCCAACCCCCAAATCACACACTGCACTTGTCAGTCATCACTGGTCTTAGGCATTTGTCATCATCATGGCTCGGCTGGCGCATGGTGTGTCTCCCTCCTTGGCTCTGAGCTTTGTGAGGGACCCCAGAGCCCAGCATTCAATATTTTCTAAATGGATGAATAAATGATCACAGGGGACACTGTCGAGTTGTAGGTACATCACTCTATCTCTCTCGATCTCAGTCTTCACATCTGTCACTTGGGAACGATGATCCCTTTGGCTGTTTGGGCATGCCCAGTGCCTAGCTGGGCTTCAGTGTGTGATGGCAATCCAGTAGTACAGATGTCTCTGTGGACACCAGCGCTGCAGAAGAGGGCACACACTCTTTGTCTTTGAAATCAAGAGGAATTTGGACACCTTGAAGTAGGTTCTCACTGTAGTTCTCATCTTCCCTTTGTTTCTCTACATGTGCTGAACCCCTACTCACCATGGGCACTTTCCAAACAAACAGCCCCAGGTCGGGTGCCCAGGATGCCATGTAGGACAGAATTTAGCATGCATGTCATTTATTAGCAAGACTCTTTGGATAGCACTTGTGTTGGGGAGGGAAGAGGGAACATGGATGGAGGGAGAAGTTGAACCTTGATGCAGGTAGGACAATAGCCTGGGTCAACTCCACAGGCAGCCCTGGAGCTAGGCTGGCCCTTTGGAGTCGTGCAGGCCTATACACCCTGCAGTGATCGGTCCTTGGATGTGACCTCGGGGAGGTGGGTCTCTGGAGCTGGGTTGTCCCCGGCTGACAGCTGCAGCTGTTTGTTGACAACGGTACCCCAGCCACTGGAGATCTGGGGATCCTTGAAAGGGGATCTGGGCGGTACTCCATGGTGTCCACTGCACAACTGTCCCCAAAGGTAGGTACCGTTATCTCCACTTATGGATGATGACACTGAGCTCATGTGGATGAACCGTCTCGCCCAAGGACGCACAGACAGGAAGTGCCTGCCTCCAGAACCGCCCATCTCTCTCACCGCTGCCCCGGTGGTGCTCAGACCTGCGCCAAGCAGCCAAAAGCACAAACCCCACAGCCAAGTCACTTCCTGTCAGCTGGCAGGCCTGTCATCCAGCACCTCTCGGTTTTGCCTGAAGCCCGCGAGGCGAGGTGGCTTCCCAGCCCGAACCCATCCATCCGTTTGTATTTATTCTGTGCGCAGCCAACAGCTGCCGGGAGCCAGGGCTGCCAACACACTGCGCCTTCAACATGCATCTCTCCACCCATTTCAGAGTCCTCCTCTGCTAGCTTTTCTGGGAAGCCTAGCTTCCCACCCCCCCTTTCTCCTTGCCAGCAATGTGGCTGGATTTCAGAGGAGCCCCAGGATGGGGGGGAACTGGAAAAAACAACACTCAGGATGTGGTAGGGGGCGGGGTGAGGAATGGCTGCAAAGATCCTTTGGATTCTAGCCCAGTTTCATTTCAATTTTTTTTTTCCTTTCTTTTTACCAACGCATAGCTGTATAACATTGCAGGATACGGGCAGTGAAATGTCTGGGTTTACTGGTGTGGGTTTGGAACATGGATTTTTGAGTAATGCAGCCTGGGGTTCTGATCTGTGTTTTGCAGTGTGACCTTGACCAGGCGTCTGCGCTTCTCTGAGCTCCTGATTCTTCGTTTGTGAAGTGGGTTAATGATCTCAACACTCGGGTCCATTTGGAGGACTGTTAGGGGAACTACAGCAGTGGGCCTAATAATTACATCATAAATGAGACCTAGTATCAGTATTACTCCACTGTACTTTCTCCTATAGGCTGTCAACGTCCTCCACTATTCCCAATACTCAAGTTGCGATGGTGCTTTGCAGCTTACCTCATGGCACTTCCATCAGCCTCGAAGATGCTAGGCTTTTTCTCCAAGCCACAAAGCAGACCTCTCCTTGCCCCTTCCAACCACCCCAAACTGACCAATTCTACCCATCCTTCAGCTCTTTGCTCACACCTCGACTTCCCCTAGGACAACGGCTGGCAAACTCATTCTGTAAAGAGCCAAACAGTAAATATTTTAGGCCTTGTGGGACCTGTGGTCTCTGTTGCCACGGCTCAACTCTGCCATCATAGCTCAAAAGTGGCTGCAGGCAATCCACAGACAAGTGGGTACCGCAGGCTTTTAATACAGCTTTATCTATGGACACTGGCATTTGAATTTCCTATAGTTTTCACGTGGCATGAAATATTATTTTGACTTTTAAAACAATCATTTACAAATGTAAAAACCATTCTTAGCTTGGGAACAGTACAAAAGGAGGCAATGGGCCGGATTTGACCTGTGGGCCGTAGTTTGCTGATCCCTGCAGGCTACATTAAGGGCCCTTCATCGAGGCTTCCACAGTGTCCCTGAGTTACCCCATCACAGCACCGAGCAGGGGTCGTTGAATTTACCTGTTAACTCCTCAGCAGACTACGAAACACAAGGGAGGCACCAGATCTCAATCACTGCTTAAACCCTCAGCACCCAGCACACAGTAGGTGCTCAATAACTGTAAGCCCATGAGGATAAACAAACGCTTTCAACAGCTCCATACGGCACGTTTTATAAGCCCCACTTCACAGATGGGGAAACTGAGCCTCAGAGAGGGAAAGGGATGATCTCAATGTCACACAGCTGCAAAAAGTGATTCACCTGGGACTCCAACCTCCGAAGAGAGAATGAGAGAGAGAGTTGAGCAATTATTATGTGCCCGACACAGTGCCAGGGGCTGTGCATGCATTACATCGCCCTCAGGTTACTGTGCACCCACTGTGTCCCTGGACTTACTGACACTGCTGGATTCCGCACAGCCAGAGCTCTAGACGGTTACCTCACGCGGCAGGAACCATACCTGTCTTGCTCCCTGCTGGGTCCCCAGAGCCTAGAGCAGCACTTGGCACAGAGTAGGGGGTTCGAAGGTCATTCGTGGCACAATGAGCGTCCACCCCAAGCCGGGCCGGGCGCCGCATCGTGCAATTTCCATATGTAAGTCCACCATCTTCTGTCACCATCTCCCAGGAGTGCAACCTGCAAATCGGCTGAAAAGAGAAATTGATTAAATTTAAAAAAAAAAAGGAAAGGAAGAAAGAAAGAAAAAGAAAAACAAAAAAGCAGTGACAGCCGCGCCAGCCACGGCAGCATGTGCTGAGCCAGACAGGTTATCCATCCGCAAGAATCCATGGCTCTAATGCAGCGATTTCCCTCCGCCAAAGACATAAATTAATAAAGGCGTGCAGACGAAAGGACAGCCAAGGCAAAGAGGCCTCCGGCTGGGAAAAGTCACCTCCCCAAGCCCGATGCCCACATCTGCTGCTGGGGCGGGAGAGACGGGCGCCAGACCCCAGCCTCCACCAAGCGCGCTGCAGCCCCCGAGGCCCCTACTCCGGAGTGGGTCCAGCGTGCACACCAGCTGTCCAAGGCAGGCCCTGGCTCCCAGGGGCCCCCGGGCCGTGTGTTTGATTCTTAACCCAAATCGTGCCCCAGCGGCCGCTCTGTTAAGCAGGCCCAAGTGGCAGGAGGCGTCTGTGGGAGAACTGCGGGCCTTTATCGCTCGCGCTGGCTTGTTGGCGGAGCCCCTTGGCCGCACTTCACAGGCGCCCCGCGGAGCCCCCTAGGCGGAACCTTCTCGAATCCCACTTGTTGACGGCGGCCTTGTGGCAGGATTTAATGGTGGAATAATATTTACACAGCAAACTCCTCTGGAGGTGTCCTAAACATCGTGAAAGGGATTTTCGGAGCTTAATGAGCGTTAGTGAAGTCAAGACAGGATAATGTGGCAACTGGTGACTCTAATCTGATCTGGCACCTTCTACGCAGTAAGACTTAGTGGGCGGGGCCGTTTGGAGAGCTGGCAAAAGTTGCTTTTCCCCTCTGCTTCCCCTCGTCTCCCCCTGAAATCTGTAATACAATTAGCAGCACATGGCCTGCGGGGGCCGCATCTCAGCTGCTGTAGGTGCCAGCAAAGCCCAGGCTTAGGCCCGTGGGTCCATTGAGGGACTTTTTAACAGGTGGGTGTTAGGGAAGGAGCGGGCAGTGGGGGAGATAGACCTCATCACGTTTTCTTTCTTTTATCTGAAGGCAGCACAAAACTTCTAAGCATTAAAACAAAACAAAACAAACCTTGGATTTTAAAATGTCGATAACAGATTCAGTTTCGTGCCTGTGGGTCAGAAGGGCCACAGCCACAATCCATTCCTACATCTGAACCAGCAAAACTGCTCCTGGGAAGGTGAGCAAGGCCTCAGATACACAGGCTCTAGAGTTGTCACTTCAAATCCCGGCTCCGCCATCACCTGGCCGAGTCACTTCCCTCTCCAAACCTCAGTTCTGTCATCTGTAAAATGGGAATAATGGGCCATACCTATCATGGGGCAAGAATGTGAGTCAAATACATAGAAAGCCTAGCACTGGAGCTTACATGGAGTAAAGAGCTCATAAAGACGAGTTTAAAAGTCTTTTCTGACCTCAGTCTTCTCATCTGTAAAATGGGACTGCTGTTACCTCTAAGAATCAAATGAGATAAACTGGCACAGTCTAGCTTGGATTCAGATCTAAGAGTCCAGCTCCCAAAGCCAATTCCTGTTACGCCCTTTGCCTTCAGTTCACTGTGACTGACTGGCATCCGAGAGGCTGCCATAGGGAACAAAGTCCCCCAGAACTGAGAATTCATTCCTTCACTTCCCCATAACCACAGTCAGATCCTGAGCTCTGCATCTTGTTGATACAGGAAGGGAATCTGTGCAGAAGCAATGGCAGACTGTGTTGTCTAGGACTTGAGAACCAGGGAGATCCTTCAGAGGCCTCTAGCTGGGTTGCTCTGGTTACTGGGAGTTAAGCCGTTGCTTCGTGTTGTGAATTTGGGGGTCCGAGCTGAAGGCAGTAGACGGCTCTGACCAGTGCAGTTCTGCATTGGAGGGGGCCTTGTGAGCTCCAGGCTGACCCCTTGGACCCACTGGGGAGTCCTCTAGGCCTATCCTGTGGTCACTAAGCCTGGTTTTGAATCTTCCCCTCGTTAGCTGTGTTCCTTTGGGAAATCGACTTACCCTCTCTGACCTTCAGTCTCCTCATCCACAAGAAGGGAAAAGGAAAGTTATCTCATAGGGTTCCTGTGAGGTTTGAATGGGATGGGGTGTATAGAGATCCTGGCATAAAGTATTTTTCACATCAAGGACTCATGACCCCCACTGTCCTCAAAGCTATGAGCTTAGAGCCTGAGATTTATAAGAAAGAGCCAGATGTCCATTTACTACTCTCAATTTAGAAAATCCCAGAGAAGGCCTCTGATTGGCCTGTCCCTGTCATGCAACTATCCTTTAGCTTACAGGCAGACCTCAAGAGATATTGCAGGTTCGGTTCCAGACCACCATAATAAAAGTGAATATCACAATAAAGTAAGTCACATATATTTTTTTGGTTTCCCAGTGCATATAAAAGTTACGTTTACACTATACTGTAGTCTGTTAAGGGTGCAATAGCATTGTGTCTAAAAAACAATGTATATACCTTAATTTAAAAATACTTTATTGCTAAGAAATGCTAATTATCATCTGACAACACAGGAACAGCCACAAACCTTCAATTTGAAAAAAATGGAGTATCTGTGAAGTTCAATAAAGTGAAGCACAATAAATAGAGATATGCCTGTAATTGCTGCATCCAAAGGGCTGGCTGTGGTTACATTATAAGGGTTTTTATCTTAAGATAGGAAGAGTGGGTGCATTTTCTGGAAGGAGAGAAATAATAGTCACTGAAGACCATTTCAGTGGCTCTGTGACCATGGTTAAATTTCTAAACATTTCTGAGTTTGGTTTGAGGTCTGTAAAATGGTTGAAAAGATGTCTACTTTCTGCTGAGTTGTTTTGAAGATGAAGCAGAAGAAACCACGTGGCAAAATGCCTGGCACATGGTCCAGCTCAATAAGTGTTTGCTGAATCCGTATCAAGCCTGTCTTGATTGTTGGTACTATTAGTCCCAAGGCATCTTTAATGATTAGTAATCATATAAGAATAAGGAATAATTTACTCAGTCATCAGTTATCCTTTTCCAGGTGTTCAGAGACAGAAAAATGCAAGTAGGAGATGAGTTTATATGTACGCTTTAAATTTCTAAGATTAATTTATTTTTCATATCATTGGTCTAAAAAAATCAAATGGGAGAGGTGAAGCTGATGGGTTTTGTATTAAACTTAGATGGGTCCACCTTTTTCACTAACATTTTACTATAAAAAGTTTCAAAGACAGAAAAATTGAAGGAAGTTTATAGCAAACTTCTCATGAAAGTTTGTTAAAAGTCTGGAACTTTTTATAAAGTTTTTATCCTCCACCTAGATCCCACCATTAGCATTTATATACTCTATCGTGCCTATCCATCTATCTAACTCTCTATCCATCCATTAATTCATCTTATCTTTTATGCATTTCAAGCAAACATTTCTGCAATGCAATATCAATACGTGCTTATAGTTTTTATGTAAAAAAGTATATGAATGTATTGAAATGCATAAATCATAAGTGGGGCTGACACTGAATTTTGTCAAATGCAAAAAACTGTGTGACCCAAACCTCTCACCCCTCCCCAGAAAGTTCCCACAGCCCCTTCCCAGTCAATCCTTGCCCTAACCCCCAGAGGCAAGCACTGTTATTATTTCCCACCATCTATTAGTTTTGTTTTTTCTAGAATTTTATATAAGTGCATACAATTTGTACTCTTTTCTGTCTGGTTTATTTCATTGAACATGAAGTTTTGGAGATTGACTCATACCATTATATATATCAGTAGTTTGTTCTTTTTACTCTTGTGTAGGACTCTACCATGTGAACATACCATAATTCATTTGTTCATTCTCCTGCTGATGGTCATTAGGCCATATCTAGTTTTGCTTTAAATAAAACTCCTATGAACATTCTTATACAAATCTTTTTGTGAACTTGTTTCATTTCTCTTTGTAAATATTGAGTTAAATTTCTGGGTTATAAGGTAGGTAGGGGTATGCTGAGTTTTATAAGAAACTTTATAAGCTTTTTCCTAAAGTGGTTATACCATTTTACAGTCCCACCAGCAATGTATAAGAGTTCCAGTTGCTCTTCAACCTCATCAACATTTGTTGTTGTCAGTATTTTTAATCTTAGCCAACTTGTGAGTGTGCATTAGTATCTCACTGTGTGTACAGGCCATTTTTTTTCTTAACCAGAGCCAAGTTCTCATCCATTTCATAAAATGCCTGAAGTGGAAGGACCCTTATTTCACAGATAGGAAAACTGAGGTCTAGAGGGGAAAGAGATTGGGCCAGTATTTCCCAGTTGTGTTAAAGGTAAAGCTAGACTAATAATTCAGGCTTCTGACAACTGATCCGGCGCTCACAATAAGAATATGTCATTAAGTTGAGCACCTACTATGTGCCAGGCACTGTAGCAGACTCCCTCCTATTTACTATTTAAATTATTTCATTCAGTCATTCATCTAGTCATTCAACAGACACTCACTAAGCTGCTCCCTGGGCTCTGCAGGTGCAGAAACAAACAATGGAACCATTCTGGCCTCCTCCAAGGAGCTTACATTTGAGTACACGAGAATCTTTAATCCTTAATCAAAGCAGTATTTTTTGCCACTTTAGACATAGTAAGACCTACATGCATTAATGCATCAAACGTGCCTTCTTCAGTGTAAAGGGAGCTGCTGTAAGTACTTTGGGAATCTTGATTACTAGGGCAAAGAGGGTCCTAACTCCAGAAAATAGGTATTTTTACTCCTGTCCATTTTGTTTCCAAACTTGGGCCACTGCACAGCACCTTTTCTCCTGGAAGGGTTCTGCTGAGTGTCCCCTGAGGAAACTTAGATGTCTAAGAGCCCAGTTCTCTACCTCATGGGAAGAAAATCCTCACAGAGAGAGTGGGATCTTTTCTCAACCTTACTCACAGAAAGCCTCTGGGGTCCAGTGAAACCTGTTTGGTTTTTTTCCTAAAGTCAACTGGGAGTGGATTTTTAGTCTAAGGAAGAGCACCATACAATTTTAAAAGGAGAAGAGACCTTAGATATTATGGCATCTAGGCCTGGCCCTGCCACTCGCCCCCTCACCATTTACTCAGCCCGTCTCTGCATAACAACTCTGAGTCCTTATATAAACTCATTCTTAGTCCAGAGCTTTGTTCAAGCTTTTTCTCTGCTAAGAGCATTCTGTCCCCTCCCCGCCCCACCATCCCCTTTTGCCTGAAAAATTCCTATATGTTCCTCAGATTGCAGCTTAAATGTCACCTCCTTCAGGCAGCCTTCCTTGATTACCGCCCCCCAGCTGGGTCAGGTGGCTTTCTTGGGTTCCCACTGCTCCTTCTGCTTCCCCTAACAGCACTAATCACTGCACTGTACAAAAGTCTGTTCAGTTCTCTCTCCCCAAGGAGAGCAAGCACTGTGCCTGATTTCTTTACCATGAATTCTCGGTACAAACACAGGGCCTGGCACATAGTAGGTGGTCAAAAAATGTTGATTGAATTATGACTGAACCCAGTGGCTTCCACACGCTCTCAGTCTCCTCTCAGATCCAGCTTCTTTGCACACAAAAGTCAACCTAACAGTGGCTGACGCATCCTGGCAGGTATTCGGTTCCCTTCTCATGACTGTCCCCCTCCTGACTCATTTCCCTGTTAAGCAAGCAAGACCCCAGAGGGCCCTGATCAACACTGTCAACTTCCTGAGGCTGCACCATTTTAATAAAAGTGACGGGGGAGCTTGTGATGGGGCCTCCTGCCGTGACCCCCATAAGATAGAAAGACAGGGATAATACAGTACAGGCCAGCAGCCTCTACCACAATGTCATAGCAAGGATCCCAGGTGAAATGCACAGGAGATGTAATTACAGGTGAGGAGGATTATGAGTGGATAGGAGCCACAAGCTACTTCCCCTCCCCCTCGCTCCCTACCCCAGCTGCCCTCCAGGTCCTCGGCAAGCTGGTCAGGTACCTGGTTCTGTAATGAGTTTAAGGGTAAAAGACGGATGGGGCTCAGTTACTGGAGAAACTATGGCCCACATTCTCTATTAGGGAGAGCACATTTCAACTGGGCCACGTTCTCCAGAGAGTATTTTCTGGCGGGAAAGCCCTTCTGCTTCTACTTGCTCATTACAGTCCCTCTGTGACTTCGTAAATTGTACAAATGAGGAAAATGAGGTTTGAGACCCAGAGTAGGTGTCCCTGAAGTCAAAAACAGCATACCAGTTTAGGTTCTATGCAGGAAACAAGGTCCAGTCTAGGTATTTTAAGCAGGATGGGATTTAATACAGGGATTTAAGTGCATACAGAACTACTGGAAGGAGCAAGTTCTAGGTTAAGCCTCTTGGAATAACTCCCAGAAAATACAGAACAGAGGCACCTGGACAGCCACTGCTGGAATTATGCTGGAAGCAAGAAGCTGCGGCACGTCCAACACCACTGCCTCTAGAGACCCAGGATGAGGGACCAAGACACATGATCTCTGCTGCAGGAGAGTCTTGCATTTGCGTGACTAGACTGTCCAACAGCTGTGGCCTCGAGCCACCAGAGTGTGGCTTCACATCAGCTTCCCAAATGTCACATCAGTGCCTCTCATCGGTAGGGATGAATTCTAGCTGCAAGGGAGTCAAGAAAGATCAGTGTCGCCTTTCCCTCCTCTTCAAGCTGCAGGAGGTAGAATGGAAATTCAGGGAAGCCGCCCAGAGGACCTGACACATAGACAGGAAACCTGCTAAATCCCAGCTCTGCCACCTTCTAACCGTGTGTCCCTTATTGTCACTATGACATGGTAATATGGACAGCCACCTTATAGGGGTTCTGAGAGGGCTAAATAAGATGACGTGTGTACAACTCTCAGTGCAGAGCCTGGAATATCTTAAGTTCTCAACAAAGGGTAGGCAGTGAGACTTTTATCATTACTGTTTTAGAAAAGAATAGTCCTTCCCCCACCAAAAAAAAAAAAAAAAAAATCAGGTTACACAACCACGCATAATAACTTCATACTACTTCTGGGAGCAAGAAATCCATGGAGAAATATAATTTGGATGCAGAATTCTTGACTTTCCAGGTCTTTTTTTTTTTTTTTTACCTTTTTGAGATAATTGGAAAAGCATACTTTTTTGGGGAAAGCCTATGACATGGTTAATCGCCCTCTGTAGGTCAGCTCAGGGAGGGGGACAAAACATCTGGGGAAGATAGAGGTTATCAGTACTAGTTCTCCCAGAAACAGATGAAGGCCCCACTTTGTTTGTGACCACAGACAAGGCAAGGGAGAGGGCAGAACATCTTCATCTCCAGCCTGTGTTTTGGGAGAATGAAGAAGTGTAAGTTTCTCCCTAGGGAGGGGGCTGGGTCAGCAGAAAGAGGAGAGAAATCAGAGTCAGGCAACCCTGTGGGCCCCGCCCAGCACTGATTCCTCTGAGCCGCGTGACCCTAGGCAAGTCACATTCCCTCTTGGATCCTCCACTTTCTCATCTGCAAAATGGGGGCCATCACTTTCACCTGCTGGATTGTTATGAAGACAAGAAGCCAGGTCAGACATTCGATGTTCTGTTCCCCGGTCACTACCCACGGGCCACATCTTCCTGCCAAAAATCAGCAGGATTTGTGAGCTCAGGCCAAGGGAGAGGGTGTGGGGGTAGCCAGCCTGGTGGAAAGAAGTCTGCTCTGGGCGTCTCTGCCTCACTGAAGCTGGACCCTACACCTGCAGCAGCCAGAGCATCTTTTGTAAAGAAGCCAACATTTTTTTCTCCCATCAGTGGTGGTGGAGGGAGAAGAAGAGAAACTCTCACCAGGCAGGAAGGGCAGCAAGACACACTTTCCTACCGTGGTTTCACAGGGTCAGGTATCAAAGTACCTGCTTGCAGGTAACCAGCACCATCAGAGAGTGAAGCCAATATAGGGAAGAGAAAAGCCACGCACGGAAGTGGCTGGGTCTGAATCAGAAGATGCCTTCCCCAGCCCTGCCACTCCGGACGCAAGCTGCCAGCTCCCAAGATGAAGGTCCCCACCCTGCTTCAGTGGCGAAAGTCATTAAGGAGCATCCAGGGCCCATCTTTGGCAGGAATGATAGCTGGACACCAATTTGGGCGCCTGAGGATGGTGGCCCGAGAGGACCAACAGGACACAGTGGGGAGGCCCGATCAGCCAACCTGGCAGCCGGACCTAGACCTGGCTGTCTGTACCCAGACCTGGCTGTCTGTACCATATTGCTCACTGTCTGGCAAATCAACAGATTTTCACAAACCAGATTCCTCTTCACATGCCTGGGCCCTTCCTGTCCAACTGTTCCAGCATCTGTTTCTCTTAAAATGTATTTATTACACCGAGAAGAATAATAATGGGGCTGGGTCTGAGGCCTCGGAGGCTGTGGCAGTGGCTTCCTCCCAGGGCCTCCTTTGGAAGAGATTACATTGGGAGAAATGGTGCAGTGCTCAACCTGGCGACAGCCTTCCTTGGTCACTGGAGTCTGGAGTCACTAGACATTGGCCCAGAGTATGAGGCTGAAGGGGAAAGGCCACGATGGTAGTTGGGGGCTCGGACCGGAGTCTATTTGTGAGTAGTGTGGCCTCAGGCAACTTCCTGAACTTCCCAGAGCCTCAGTATCTTCCTCTGTGAAATGGGGGTAGAGCTACAAGATCTCCAAGGTGATTTATTTCTTGTTTTGCCTCTGAGTGCTTCAAAAAGCTCCTGCTTATGGAACTCAGTCTTACTCGGACACCTGAGAATATGCATTTCTCCGTGTATTCATTCATTCATCCATTCATTTGTTCATCAGACTGTTCAACGAACAAGCTATCTTCAAGACACTGGTGATATGATGGTGCTTAAAAAAAATTACCAAAGCCCATTTCTTACCACTCAGATAATTCAAGTACATTTGCAAATAGTCACGGCAACTAGGATTCCTGGGGCTGTTTACCGTGTGCCAGCCATGGCGCTCAGCACTTCACAAACATCGCAGCAGCCCTGTAAGGTTTATCTCTGTCTCTCTAGGGGAGATGGGGGAAACTGAGGCTCAGGAAGGTGGAGCAGCTTGTCCAAAGTCACACAGCGAATACACTGACAGCAAGCACATTCGGACAAGGATTTCACTATAGGCTGACACCTTGGGTTCTCATTTAAATGGCTCGGCAGCTACAGAGGTTCGTCACTGCCCCGATTCTATCTGATTTCTACAGCAGCCCTATGGCGTGGCTGGAGAGGAAGGTGGGTCTCACATTATGACGAGGCCCAAGGGTGGAAAGTGGTTTCTCCAAGGTGACAAAGCAAGTCGATGGCAGCACCACCTGTAAACATAATAAAACAGAAACCAAACAACGAACCGAAGCCTTCTACCACTCACCCGTTGGTTCTCTTACTTAGTAGATACCAGATATAGCTGGTTCCACGATGCACTTATTTAGATTTTACTATCTCTGAATCAGGATTCATCTTACAATGAGTGGTGTGCCATATTTTAATTAGTAGCTTGTTTTTTTTTCTTCTTAGCAAGACACCAAATAATGGTGCATATTACAATCAATGGCATGTTTAGCAGAATGAAATCTGGTTTTTCCTGAGTACCTAGTAAGTATAAGAAGTGTGCTGGGCATTCTTCCCCTTTGTCCTCCTCACTGAGGGAAGAGGCCCCAGGCAAGCTGAGATCCTTAGGGGTTCTTGGGAACATAGATTTTAAGTGCCCGTGTTTGGTTCCATTCACCATGTCCCGACCCTCCAACTCTGTCCACAGAATGGGGTTTGCAGACAGATCCCACTTTGAGAGGTGATGGTGGAGGTGGCAATAACCATCTCCAGACTCTCAAGAGCCCTCACTGAGGGGTCTCTGAACCTCAGTCCAGGCACTGGGCCCTCAGTCTCCACTCAGACACCTTCCCAAGCCTCCCAGGTCCACGTAGACTCAGCGGGGTTGCCAGCAATCTCCACCAGGAGCGCAGAGATGGCGATCCTAGCACTGCCCCTAGGAGCTTTGGGAATAACTGAGGTGGAATGATTTCGCCAGCTAGGCCACCGCTGCTGACTCCTGAGAGACAGAGGAGGGAGGAGGGCAGGAGGAGCAAGTGACTGCGGCCAAAACACAGTGACGGGCTAGTTTGCTCTGGGCAGGCACCAAGCTGGGAGCGGAGCAGTGGCACTCGAAACTGATTGCCCCTGGTAGGAAAATCGACACTCCCCACCCACTCCCCACTGCCAGGACTCGGGGTGGGGGCCGACATGGAAAATTAAGTCACAGCACCAAGTTATCTAAATATTTGGAGTACATGTGGGTAATTTACCCCTTCTTGGCAGTCTGTCCCTTAGACAAATGGAGTGGGTAGACATCTTGGGAGAGAGGGAAACCCAGGGAGGCACATAGTAGGTGATCCATATATGGACACATCCTTTGGGAAGCAGGCAGAATTGCAGGGTAGAGCCAGGAGCTGGAAGGGAACTTAGAGGCCGAGTCCATCATATTCTTCCTTTTACAGATGACGGTGAATCATCATAGTCACACAGCAAGTTCCATCACTGGCAAGGTGGGCATGCAATGTCTCCCTTCTCCTAGTATAGTGTTTTAAAGCCCACAGCATCAGAAAACACACACACACACACACACACACACACACACACACACACAGTGGCTTTCCCATCACAGAAGCATTTCAAGTAAGGGATTGCCAAGTAAAAAATTTCCAAAGATCTTTAATACTTACATTCACCACAGTGTACCATAGAGGAGTAGAACCTCAGAGAAAATAAAAGCTGTCATTGACTATA